ATATATATATTTGAAGTAAAAAAAAAGAAACAAAATTTGTGCTCTGATACTTTATTTATATTTATTAAATAAGATTCATATATAATTGTACATATATACATATATAACGGATGTTGGCACTTTATAATTTTGTATATAATGACTCACATACATACATTGTGCGATTATATGAAATTTGCGCGATATAATCGTATACTCTGTTAATAATTAAATCGACACGTCCGACCTGATTCTCTCCTGAGAAATCTTTTAATGACACAACATCAATTTGTCATCGTAAAATGTCGCGTGCTTTATAAATGTTCTACTCTACTTGGTATTTCTATCCCTTGTAAACAGATAAGTTGTTATTCCCTTGATACAGAAATCGATAAATGGCGTCCGAGAATAGCGATCAAATGCTGATGAACGATAGCACTCTGCAGCGATTATTTGTAGGTAGATTGATGAATCTGTTCCCGCGGACGCTCATACCCCACGATTCCTCTCCCCGCTCGCTCGAAAATGGTGTTCTTCAATCTTCGTTGCCCGGACGATAAGGACCCAGATCCTACGGTACAAAGATTTTCATGCTGACGCGCCATTCCTAGCGCCTAATTAATGAGTTTGAATTTTTCCGGCGGCTAATGGAAAGACTGCCTGCGCAGCACGTAGTCAAAGGAATCGGCGCAGTATGAAAGATGAAAAAGCGGCATCAAGGAATGGAGGTTAATATGCAAAAGTTTCGCGGCTTAAGGATATGAAACTGATGAGGTCGTGACACGATTTCGTCAATTCACGATCTTCGTCTCTCTCTCTCCCGTTCTCCCGTCTTATCGAAGATATCTTGTACGAAATAAGGAACGGGGGTGGAACGCTTGAATGATCATCGATAGAAACGTAGGCTCCGACTGATGGAAATAAAGATTGCCTATTCTTTACAACACGCATGTTTGAAATGTAGAAAACTGCATGAGAGATTCTTTTTGAAATCGCACAAGATAATGAACAGTTCAATAACGGTCATGTTTATTCCGTGAAAATTACATATGCACACATATATATATATATATATATATATATATATATATATACGCAATACTACTTTATATTTAAAAATATAGAATCAATTATAGAAACATAAAAGTTAATAGTGCAAAAAAACGCTTAACGCTTAACATTTATTTAAAAATTTGTATTTTTATTTTATTCAAAAAATGGCGACTCTTGAACACAGAGGAAAGCAAATCTCGCGAACGAAAAATTTCATCAATGTCTGATTTTCGTGTTAAGTAAATTGGGAAAAACTTTTTGCGGAGAAAAAGATTCAATTATGATATTATCAAGTACATTTCAATGTTTTCAAAATAATAGAATAGTATGTATGGAAAATGAATAGCATGAATGCAGAAGGGAAATGGAGCATTAGACAAGAATGAAAGTAGATGAAAACGTGATAGAAGCAAGAGAGAATTCAAGAAAAAGATACGAATAAAATGCGAAAGGCAAAAAGATCAGTTTAGACTTGTTGAAATGCATCGAGCATTCTGGCAAAAGTACGGTGTTTACGAACAGAATGCGTCCAGCAAGCATTACAAACCAGCAATTGTTAAGTAAATACTATACGAGTGAATCGCATGTTAATTATCAAAATTGGACTACCGACCAGTAGCTTTTATCAATCCTAGAAACTTTGCGAGATAAAAGGAATTACCACTGAGAATTTTACAAGCTCCGCTATACTTGTCTTAAGATTAAAGAGAACAGAATCTAGAAACTTGTTAAACGATTGTACCATCGTGACTTGTTTAAAAAGAATTAAATCACGTTAAGAAAATTACTTTGATGAAATGAAATGAAACTATAATCAATAACATTTAAAAAGTTTTATCTTTATTGTTATTATATTATGCGTATCATTATGACTCTGACAATTCCTAAGAATTATTTCCGATATAGATTGGGTGACACGGCTATTAAATAATAAAAGCACGAAATGATGTTATTAATAAATGATATAATTGATTGGGACGCTTTGAAAATCCAACCAATTTGAGAAAATACACGTTCATTTATCATTGTAATCGTAAAAAATATCACCCATATATAAACAACGCAGAATCAAGATTTCGAAATTGATAGAACGAACAACAAGCCTGCAATCTTTCTGCGGATTACGTCTCTAGCGCGCAATTTGAAACATCGACACACCCCATCCTTCCATTCTCGCGTCTATCACGCCCGACCTAGTCGACGGCGATAAATCTGAACTTACGGTGTATCCTTGGAGAGAGATGCAAATTTTCCTACAGCTATAGAAATTTCGCAACACAGTGTCGTCATTTCCGTTCTCTGCGCTGCATGTTCTCTACTACACACGTACATCTCAATAAGAATGTAAATTATATCTGACAATCAATTTACTTATTATTTATGACATTAATTACGACTGATATCGAAAAATGAACGGCAGAATATTATATTGGATATTACAATTTTGATATTGATAGACTGAGACAACTTATGCGGGATTCGTCACATCGGATACATGTCCAACGCGCAATTTGAATCATTGTCCCCTGTTCTCCAATCCGCCCATACGAAACCTTTTCTATCCACACGTCCATCGTGTTCGACTGGCTCGATGGCAATAAATCCAGACTTACTCTTTATCCTATCGAGGCTTTGCCCGCCAGGGTGCGAGCCTCTGGCATTGTCGCGGCTATATCACCGACCAAAACGGACGAGAGGGACGGCGTGTCGTGCGACAAGACTCGACGGAACCTGAATTAAATTCTGAGATTTATCGCGTCAATAACCGTGCATTAATTTATGATTTTTTGCGGTGAGGAACGTAAATCCACGGGGGCATGCCGTCGCGCCAATTGTTTCGCTCTACGTGGCGGTCCAACCGAGAGGAACGAGCATAAAGAGGAACAGGCAAAGGGAAAGAGAACAAGCGCGCTATACACGGAAACACACAACGGCTCAAACATATATCGATAGTATCAGGGGGAGAGGGGGAGGGTGTACACGCGGTGTGAGCGATGTGAAGTGTGGGTAACGGCGTATGCGGGCGACTAGCGGCGTGTTCTACATCTAACTTATATTGACCACTCAACATTCCGAGCTCGTAAACTACGACGTTCGCCGACCGTTCGATGCAAAAGCAATCGGAAACAGTACATCGCGGTACCGAAAGGCCTTTGATGTCGCGCGTGTATCACCACGAGGGGAAGGCATCAATTAAAATTATATGCCCATATTTGTTATTCCGAACGTCATTGCTAAAAGATTGCTCTTGACTACGCGCGTTGAAACGCGCGTCGCCTCGTCGACCTACAATTTATTTCCAATAAAGATTAATCGACTGGGCTGACGGCTCGTCGCTCGGAATTCACCTTCAATCTTTAATTCGTTTCCTGATTTTCCTTCTTGTGGCGAAGGAATGTCTGGGAGCTTGAAATTGTTTAATTACTGCTACGTTACTATTCTATTACTGTTTTGCATTAAGCTGTTATAGATTAATTGTATTCCCTATAGTTTTACTCATTAGGGAAATGTATGTACACATGCTACCCCATTCTTTTTTTTTTTTTTATTTTGTTCTGCTCGGATGTCTTTTGATCGATTAATCGTTTTAATTACGAGTGAAACCGCAGGTGTGCATTCAAATTGATGCACAGAATGAAAGTACCAACCAGCCACAGTCTAAAACGCGCGTAATTTCGTCTGCCTTCTTTTTTATTCCCTTTTACGTTCATTTCTTTTGACAAACTTTCTTTGAAGTCTTCTCTTCCCAAACGAGATCGTCCTTTTACTTTTTTTCACGGTCTATTCTTCGCTTTCCTTCCGTGTATATCAGAGCAAATATCGTTTTTACCAGATTTTTTAAACATAATACATTAAATTGGGGCTCTATGCATTATACATGTAATGACTTATCTCCATAAAGCTGAGTTTGCTTTCAGTTTGATAAGCAAACTAAATGGTTGAAAAAAACAATATTCATTGCAACTTCGCTTTAATGTCTATAGGTGTTATTCAACGATCTATTTCCTAATTACTAACCGCTCTTCTTCACTTAATCCATCACAAACGAGAAGATAAAGGAAGAGGATCAGTACTGTCATCTTCACGCCGGCAATTTTTTTCTACGGGCAATTAATTCCGTAGTACGCGGAAAGTGTCATATATCAAAGTTCCGCCGTTCTACATCAATCACCGTGCATAGTTGATAATGGGTACCGCGCGACGTACTCTTTTGAAAATTTCCAATTGCGGTCGAAAAAAGTCCAGATAGCCGCTGGATAACGGAAGTGAAAAGGGGAAAAAAGAAGGGGGTCGGTATATGCGACGCGGAATTTTATTCGCGGCGCATGCCACCCCACTCTATCGGTCGAAAGGATATTTCCTCGCCTTAAGCTCTCGCCGAAACGACTGCAGCCTCCAGGGCCACGTCGCGCGTTCCAGTATTCCTAATTTTGTTCGCCGGGCGCTACTGGAATCTTAATTATGAGGAAGAATTTGTCGAGGGTGGTCCGGCAACCTGGTCCCAATTCGCCCGACAATGTCGCCAGTACTTTTCCAGAGAATATGAGGATTTCAAGATTCAATTGCGCATGAAACAAATTGAGGTCTCCTGCTATGAGTTCCGTAATATTGCAATAATAAAGACATAGTCGAAAATTAATAAAAAAAAAAAATAGTAAATATTATTACATTCATATGTAAATAATTTTGATATTCATTGAAAAGAGAATGTTATTGCGATTGAACGAGTAAAATTATGTAGTATTTAATAATTATTTAATTTATTCAAATTTTGGTATTATATTGCATAAGAAAATTAAATATGAATTGAAGTGAAAAGGATTTTAATTGAATGATTCTTGATTTAATAAAACGCAAGTGCTAAATTTAATGATGAAATTTAATTTCTGTTGTAAGATTGAATCTTATTATTAGACTAGTTCTATTTATATCTATATATTTTATCTTATGGAATATTTTTGTTACAGGGATTGCAGAGTCGTCAGAGATCCTCAAACCTTAAAATCCAAAGGATATGGATTTGTTTCGTTTGTCAAAAAAGCGGTAAGTAGATGATATTATTAATCTGTTTCTTTTTTATTTAAAAAGTAGCGAGTTTAGCGTTGTATCGTAGCTGAGATAATAAATTAATTCTATTACATGAGCCTTAGCTACGATATTTAAATTTTGCATACAATACTATCACGTTTATTATACTCGAGCGTATGTCAAAAATAGATTACGTAATATATAATTCTATCAGCATTTTATTTTTTTAAGTTATATTTATATGTATAAATGTGTACATAACTCTGCTCTATTAGGGATATAGGGATATAGTTTTTAAATCGGTTTTTAAATATAAAGTTTTATGTTGTTCATCTATGTTCCGTTTTTATGAATAATTTCCTTTCTAGTAGAAATCTCTTTCTATTCAAAAAGTTTAATAAGATAAATTCGAGTATATATTAATCGATATCTTAACCACCAAAAATGTACTTATTCCGAATTAACTTTAGGATTATAGACCTTATAAGAAAACTTTATACATCACGTTTCCATGTAACGTTCCGTTTTACCAAAACGTGGCCGCGCTCTCAAGAAAGTCCAAAAGATGGTCGTTCTGAAGAAAATTGCAGCATGCAAAGCGCGTCGATTAAAACAACAATTTGTTTGTAATTCCGTAAGAGATTATAGTAAAAAATGAAATAACAAATTATCTGAGCATTTGTGTGAGCACAGAAGATAAGAGGGCTCGATGCATTTTATGTAAATCAGAATTATTATGGCATAATGGCAAGGTAGATAATTCCCTCCCGAGCAGCATTTTAATTATCGCATCTAACTCTGATTGTTTCCAAAGTCAGAAAGAATGCGAGTATTCCTCTATTCGTGGTAACGACTGCGAAGTGACATCCATCATTTCAGCAGTATGTCAAATCTTGACGCCGTCCTCCCAGCTTCCGCTGATCAAATAAGGGGGAGGGTCCGACCGTCACGGTTTACAACATCATTTTTCGGGACTAAATGGAGAGTGGCCGGAGTTTTAGTGTGACCCGCCAAAATCCGCGACATAAATCACGGCGAAGTTAGATGTACGGCTGAGTAAAAGAAGGCTTTCCTCCGTTTATGGTGGGGTTATTCGTCGAGGCGCCTGCCCCGAAGGTAGACCCTCTCTCCGTTTCCCCTCTGTTTTAATGTCCTATCGATCTGGACCACCGCCGGCACCTGCCTCACACCCGCGGTATTACTATTGCCGAAGTATAAATTTCCCGAGTGTCTCCGTTAACCTCGAGGAACACGCGAAAATTTCTCCCCTTCCCCTCTCACCGCTATCCCCATCCCTCTCGCATCCACCGACCAGTCCCACCGCCACTATATTCTTCGACCGCCGGATACGGACCTAAATCGCGAGCTCTGATCGCCCAGCATCTAACATCCCGGCTCTTTTAAGGCGTACGACGAAATACGAATTCCCGGGATTCTCATTTTTCTTCAGAGACGATTTCGAATCTCGAGACTCTCTATAATGAATACGGAGCTTCATAATATTCTATCGCGTTCGTCTATATGTCTATATACGGCATTCATCGCAGAACGATACGTTAGTATTGGTAACAATATTTTTTACAGATGCATATTGAAACATTATTTCTTGAATCTTAATAAGCATATATTTATTTTCTTCATGTTTTTCTTTTTACAAGTTAATTTATAATGTGAATGTTTGTTTTTCGAAGAGATAATAGCGCAGATTTATTCTATAAAAAATATCTGTAAAAAAATTCCATAAAATATAAAATTCCATAAATTCCATAAATTGATAAAACATTTTAAAAAGGTAATATATGCTACAATGTCATGTCTCTTTAATGCGTAGACGGATCCATCATATAGACCAAGCTTTGCTCCTATTACCAGTTAATAACCAATGTATACTTGCACACACACACACACACACACACACACACACACACACACACACACACACACACACACACACACACATACACACGTAAGTGCTCAGGTCGCTCTAGTTACTGTCAACTTTTGTTGCCTTACTATTTGATCGATAAATCGTGCGATATTACGACTCATGACCTTAAATATACAAAAACGTTCCTTCGTTCGCATAGATTTGTATTCTCCCAGATAGATAAACTAGAGCAATTAGAATGTAATTTACGGTGCATTGACAAATGGCACTTTCGTATATGTTAACGTTATTTTATTTACGGTTGCAGTCAAAATATCGGATGCATAACGGCCACGTTGACACATCGTTGAATATACGCAACCATGTAAATAAATAGTCTTTATTTTCTGACGCAATAGGAATATCGTATGTAGCGAGTTTTTTTTATCGTATGTAGCGAGTCGCAGAATTTTTAAAACAACAGGTCATATTTTTATTTAGTTATAGAGTCATACAGTTTTTTACTAAAAATTAGAATATTACTTAAATTTCTTGCGCCGTATGATCAAATAAATAACTTGAAACATTTTAAAGAAATATTGCTTGGAATTTGATCTTGCTATGCTAATAAATGCAAAATTTAATTATATTCCGTATATGTAACTTATATAAACTTATATTGTTTAAGCTCTACTAAAGTGTTCTATTTAAGAAAAGTGATATTAGTAGTAAAAAATATATTTCATCTGTAATAATTTATTATTAAAACTAGAATTGTACCATTTGTTAATGAGATACATAAAACGTTAATTTAAAAAAATTATAACTATAATTCAATCTGTATATATTATAATTTATATATTATTATTGAAAGTGCTATCCACCTTTTACAAAGAATGCACAACAGAGCTCAAGTGAGAGCATTTGAAAAACTATAAAAATTTAACATGAAAAGTTTAAGGAGACAAAATGCAATCGAGCACTTGATACAGTTTGTTTAGTGAAGAAGGAAGTTTCGTTAAGGCCACGTAATCCGACGGCGCATTACTCCGTCGGGGGCATGACTTAATAATGCGTGTAAAACAGTTGGGTGTCGGTAAGCGGCGCTCCCGTCTGTCTATAGCACCGCCGGCCGCGGAAGAAATTCGATTTGATAGATGCTTGGACAGCTTGAACTGCCGGCCGGTGGAAAGTACGGGGAGAGACGTGAGGCGACTGGCTTCTGGTGGTGGTACTTCTGGTGGTACCACGTAAACGCCCTGGTCACGCCGGACGGAAGGAGGCAAGCGGTGGTGGTTTTCAGGGGTTGTGGGTCGAAGAGGCGTCGGGATATCGACCGAAGTTTAGAATCGGCTTAGAACGGGGCATTCGGTCGCCTGAGCTCTATCTAGGCTAACCGCGCGAATGTGCGGCATCGTATCGGGAATGAAGATTCGAATCGGGAATATTTTATCCGGCGGGGTGTGTGCGGGAAACAAGGAACATGCAGAAAAGCGCAGAGAGTCGCTGGGTGAAGCGTAGTCCGCGCCGTGGAAGGAAATAACGGCTGGAGATGAGGCAAAGGCAAAGCTAAGGACTCTCCGAATGGCGCGAATGGTTGAGAGTAGAAAGCGGCAGAGGGGTGGATTGCTGCCATGGAAGCTGGAAAGAGGGAAAGATCATAGAGAGTTAGAAAGAGGGAGGGAAGGACAGAAAGAGAGAGAGAAAGAGAGAGAGAGAGAGAGAGAGAGAGAGGAGAGAGAGAGGAGAGA